TAAGGCTACAGATGTCTACTCAGATTATGTATTTCAAAAGCTTTTTCTCTGATGAACTGTGAAAAGCCAGGCTTGAGCAGAGGATTGCAAAAGATAAAATAATAGCCTCTCATCCCTGTGTCTGGCAGACTTAATGCAGTTACTCTCAGATCTTTTTAAAAACTTTGAGACAGCAAATTTGTTCACAGTCAATAAGATAGCCCTCTGAGCACAACCCATTATGTTTCCTTTATCAGTCTTTTCCTAAATTATTCACAAGGCTTTTTACATTCCAAAAATCTCTAATCTGCGAATTCAGCATTTCCCAGATAATAAGGTTTAATAGGCATAAGTGGCATTGATAAACTGTTTCTATGTGGTGTGATTAGAAAACATAGGTCTTCTTAAGGGGGGGGGAGAAGGCATGAAAGAATAAATACTCTGTGAATTTAAGCTAAATTGTTGTCCACTCACCTTTCTTGTGACTTTGCATTTAATAGCAGAGCAGATAGAATTTTTTAAATCTGCCTGGATAATATCTGCTTCTTCTGGGAGAAGGTGACTGAATGATCAAGAAATTCAGTTCAGTTACTTCTGTGATGTGTAAACATTTGCTGAAAGTTACTAGAGCAGAACTAGAGTTGTGGCTTTTTCTTTCTAAAGTAGTCGTGCATGTCCAGCTAAGATTTTTCAGGTGTTCTTATATCTCACTTTTTCCCTATTACAGTGTGCACAAAATGGATAGAGCTTCATCGGGAGGTCTTAGCTAGGTACCCATCATTCCCTTCCACACCTGGCTCTACAAAAAAAAAAGAACATTGCTAAGGCATTACCAAGAAGTTAATTATTTCAACATGATCAGATATATAGTAAGACGAAGAAGAAACTTGATGTAGAAGTCTCTTTTATGAAAAACTGTCTCATAGCTCTACTACTTTTGTTTTAGCTGTGCTATAGAGCAGTTTTCTTGCTGGAACATTATTCTGAAATACCATTAAGGGCAGTTCATTTCTTTACCTTGAATGGGACGTGCCCTCTCTAGGGCTACAAGCCAAGCAGTGCTGGTAGGCTCAAGTAAGGTTACTTTCATCTTTTGCAGGTTTGTATTTACTGACTTTGCTAGAAAGGGAGTTTAGATGCAGGCTGGTCTTTCTTGGTTTAAACTACACCACAGCAGAAGTGAAATACCACTGAACTTCACATGTGAGTGTGTTTTGCTAAGGGACCTTAAGATTGTGTCTTCTTGGCCCAGAAAAAACACCTGTAAGGCAAGAATAAGGTTATTGTTGTGGTGGAAGAAGACTTTGTTTTGATGATAGCTGAATCTTCCTAGGCAGAAGTCTGTCTCAGAGATATGGTGTACTCTGTGTCTGTTCCTGTAAAGGTATAAAGACTATGCATGTTTAGGGAGATGGATTCCTTTGCGTGGGGAGACGGAGTATCTCCATGCAAAGTACTCTGCACTGCCCAGGGCACAAGAAAAAGCGCCAGATTCTTTCCTCTTCACAGGATATATCTGTATTCCTCAGTGCAGCTCCATGTTCAAGACACACAGGCTAGAACTAGTTGAACTGATGGAGATGCTAATTCAAATCCCAAAAGCAATATTGCTGTGTTGGCCTGTTCAAAAGCTGCACCAGTTAGCACTGTTCAAAACGGCACCTTCATGACTATACTTCTGGTTCAGAGATCTCTACACAGACCTGTAGTCCCTAGTGTAGGCATGCTTAGATTGCTCTTGTTCTTAGAGATACAGTGAACTAAATGGGAATACAAGCAACAGATCTGAAAACCTGAAGAGGAGTAGAGAGTTACTGGTAAACAAATGATGGTTCATTAGCCACATAATCCCAAAGCTCCAAAACAGTGTGTTAACTGCGAATTTACCCCAAATCTCTGCAAGTTATGTGGGTTGTTGTTGTATGAAAAGGACCGTAAAACCAGATAAAATAGATGTTTTGTTTCAGACTGTCCTAAAGCTGGTCATTAGATCCCGTCTGACTTTTGACAAAATATTTTTTCTTCAGCAATCTGGTTAATCTGTTTGGATTAATAGAGGCTTTTCATGGAGGAGCTAGAAGATGCTAGCTCTCCTAAACAGATGGATAACCTTAAAGGTTTTGAAAAGAAGTTGATGTATATTTCACTTCGTTCATTTTTCTTCCCTTTTAATAAGAAGAAGATTATAAGGAGAAAGGAATGTGCTGCTGCAGAATGATCCCATGGTAACTAATTAGGTCTCATCAGGTCTGCAAAGGCATCCTGTTCTGAGTCTTACGCCAATGCGCTGTAACCAGTGAGCCAAGTTGAATTAAAATCTTGTGGTATTTTACTGGGATGTCATAATATATTTACCTTCCTTGCACTGAAGAATTACAGGTATCCATGGATCATTCCTTGCAAATAAACTTGTTAATGTTTGCATAAAAATAATCTGCTTGTCACTATACTCCCTGTGCTGGCCTTTGTCCATGATATGTGACAGGAATTCATTGTTTAGCTGGTGAATTTAGGGAGGGTATTAAAGAAGCCACAGCAATATCTGGTGAGCTGTAATGAAAATTACTAATGCATGTAAATTCTTTTCCTCCCTTCTGCTTTGATTTAAAAAATCAAAAATCTCTGAGCCAGAGACCTAGTGTTGACAATGATTTCTGCTTTGTCTCCAGCACAGTTGCACAGGGAAATAACTTTAGTAAGGATCCTTGCTGAGGTATGACACTAGGAATCAAGGAAACTGTGTGGCTTGCAGCTGGACCGCAAGCTCTGGTCTTTGGTTGTAGTGGCATCAACAGTAAAACAGATCTACTTAAGAGTGAAGGCAGCAGGCGCGCAAATTACCCACTCACGACCCGGGGAGGTAGTGACGAAAAATAGCAATACAGGACTCTTTCAAGGCCCTGTAACTGGAGTGAGCAGCTGCGTGCTGCTTAGTTGCCGGCTGGGGCTAAACCACGACAGAGTGTTAGTTTTTGTAGTCAGTAGCAGGACCAATAATCATGTTCTTTTAGTTCTGGTACAGTCTTTCTTTCCCATCTCATCCCTTCTTACTGAAATATCTATGATTTAAATTGGAGGTGTTTAAAGGATTAGCCATTTTATGTTGTATTATCTTACCTAAATAATGCATGTTAATTTTAGTCGTGCTGGAAAATGTGGTTTGGTGTTTAGCCATGGACGTGAACTACCAAAATCAAATATTGAGAGAAATACCCAAAACATCTTGATGCAGAACAATGGGTGCTTGAGGAAAACTATTCTATTATGCCAGAAACAGCTGGTATATATTTCATTATTTTGTTGCTAGAGGAATTCGTAAGTGGCTCAGTTGTAATTCTGAGTGATCAAAAAAATGGTTTTGGTTGATAGGTGAAAGAAAGGAAAATTGTATGTTAAGATTTAGTGTCCCAGCCTTCTGCAGTAGGAAATGAAGAATGTGGATGGATAGCCCTCTTGTAATTGTGTGCATTTTGGAGGTCAAGGGATTGCGTTTGTTTGGTTTGGTTTTTACTCAGCTTCTCATTTTTCTTGAGGTAGATGAATGTCTTGTATCAGAATAGCATTTTTCTTTTTGAGACTATAAGGAGTTACAGCCTGCACAGAAATACAAATTCTTCCCAAAAGAAGAAAACAATACTTAAAAGCTGCATGACCTTGTGAGTAGGGGCCTGAAGTGGAGTGAGGGAACATAGTTCTGTGGTGCTGGCACTGGCCTCAAATGTGGCAGAGTTGCATCAGTGTGTTTATGCCATTTTTCTTCTCTGAGCCTCTTTCCACCTAGGTATTTTGTTGCCTTTTATTGTGTTTTTTCATAAGATTTGCATGCAGTTCAAGATCTATTCAAATGTTGTCCAAAGTCATTATTCCATTATCTTTTTGCTTCTCTGGGCCCAGAGCCCGGGTGGGAATTCCTTCTCTTGTATCATGACTCTGAACAAATCTAATAGTAACTTCTCTTACAATTCTCAGTAACTTTGCCGATTCCTCAGTGCCTCCTGCAAACAAAACATACACTATATACTATCTGAAGTACGTCTTCTGATCTGGTCTTCTCATCTCTTCTCATCATCCCTCTAATGCTGCTGTTCAGGATTGTGCTTCTGCTCCGGCTTCCTGCCACTCAGTTACCGCTTCCAACCATTCCCTCCACCATTTCCATCTCAAATTGAAGCTCACTTGTGTCATCTTTCATGGCCTCAGCCCAGCTCATGTTTTTCATTTCCTCATCTTGTTCTATCCTAAACCTGGTTTTTTGTTTGGTATGGTTTGGGGGTTTTGTTTTGTTTCTACCATTCATTTATTTCACTGCACTCTGCTTTTAGACTTTCACATCCCTTACTGATATCACATCTAACAGGCTTACATCGCTGTTTTTGCTGTTCCAGCACCCTTTCTTCTTTTGAATTTTTTCCAGCAGGAGGTCTTCTGATTGCAAACATCCAAATAGCCACCATTTACTGAGCAGCTATCTATATTTTCTCCCATACTTACTTTTGACTGTTAGATCTGTGGAGCACAGGATGTAGTTGCTACCTTTTTAAATAAACTCTATGTAAACTTTGACTGCACTGCAAGTTATCATTAAAAGTAAAGATCAGGCCTTTTGCATCTCCAATTCTAGCATGCTTTGCCAGGAACAGCTAAGGTGCTGTGCTTATGCCTCGGAACTCAGTGTCTCACCTCTAGAAACAAAAAGTTATGACTGATAGGTAGGGATGGAGGAGATACTCCCATGATAGTGCACATGCTTCCTACTATGGTGTGTATCTTCCTCCTTCTCAGTTTGTCTCTCCCTAGTAGTTTATCTGCTGGCACTTGTTGCAGATGAGGATGGACTGAGTGATAGTCAGCCAATCTCTGATTTGCATGTGTATGCTTTTAATAAACTAATTTTCCACAATCCAAAGAAAAAAGGAAAACTTGCTTTTGTCACACAGTGCATTAGCAGAAAACACAGCATAGGTTAAGAGCAGTTTTATATTGAAACAAGTCGCAGGCTTACTTTTCCTTTTGTCTTGCAGAGGCAGGCAGCGGCCAAGATTACGTAACCTCAGAAAATCAGCTGCTTTACTACCCTAGTATTACCTATGCTATCATTGGTAGCTCTGTCATTTTTGTACTGGTGGTGGCCTTTCTTGCCTTAGTCCTACATCACCAAAGGAAACGCAACAATCTCATGACCCTGCCAGTGCATCGACTGCAGCACCCTGTCCTGCTGTCCCGGCTGGTGGTCCTCGATCACCCACACCACTGCAGTGTCACCTACAATGTCAACAACGGGATTCAGTACATGTCCAACCAGGCCTACCACCGGCCAGTGGACCTGGACTCTCCGCCATCCTATTCAGAGGCTGTGCTCGACCAAAGGTATGTATTGGAGCTAATTCTGTGCTCACCAAATTTTCACACTAGTAGTTGCAGCTCTGATAATCTGTGCTTTTGCTCCCCATTTATCATTATTACTGCTTTTGAAATAAGTATAGCATTACAATTCTGTCACATGCATAGGGCTAAATTCAGGCAAATTTGAGCTCCTCCTGATTATGAAAAATTCATGATCTTCAGGTCCCCTTACTGTTACTGGTATTAAAGGGATTTAAGGCAAACTCAAGTCATGCTCTCTTAGCACGTGTCATTGGTAGTAGAAATTTTGAGGGTGGCAGGAGAGTGTAAAGAAACACATCATTGTCTAGTACTGATATCCTGTGCCATTCTGGAATCAAAACATGAGAATTGAATTTGGAGTTTTGCCAAAAACCAGCTAGGTTGTAGGTCATACTATTTTAAAAAAAATTACCCTGGTCATATGTGAAAAGTATAAAAAGGTAAGAGGTCTTCAATTCTTGCATAAAGAAATTGTATAGTCTGCTCTGCACTGCTTTCCCTTTACCAACAGGAGAAAAGAACAGGACTCTGAAATGGAAAGCGCTGTTCTCATTTTAAATAGCTGAAAGTACTTTGAACTTTTGTGGGTGGGTGTGGTTTGGGTTATGGTGTTTTTGTAGTTATGACACTGATTTTATTTGTAGATAATTAACCTTTGTTTTAACCTCTGTCTGTAAAGTATTTCCAAACAAAACTCCTAGACTGACACCCTCTGTACATAAAAAGGACATGGTATGAATTTAATGATCTGGATTGTTCACTGTCAGTATTTTTTAGTACAAACTCCAGGAGCTAAGAATGACAGTGTAATCATTTACATTCCTATTCTCTGCTGCAGTTGGCAGCAGCTCCCTTGTCTTCATGTTGACATTCATAATAATGATATCTTTTCATTAGTCAGGACAACTAAATGAGCAGCTGTCCAGATTGTAATCACTTCTCACCTGGGCTGATACAAACCATCAGCAATTTTAGAGCTAATTGTTCCCCAGACCTGTTATCAATCTGCTAAACCTTTCAGTCCCTTTACTTGTTAACTATCAGAACCAACAAACAGTTTTCCTGAATCCAGTACTCATCTTATCTATGCCTACTTAGCAGTTGCTCTGAATGTGATATCATGACAGCAAAAGTGATTTGTCATGTGGAGAATTCAGTTCTTTATTTGTAGACCGTAAGCCATTAATCTCTGCCACTTAATGGAGGTTTCCTCAGACCTTTATTTTGTTCACTTCATTATCTATATGTGTAAATCAACTACTTACCTTATTTCTTGTAAAGCAGTTTCTCAGGTTCTGTAGATGTTATACAGGAAAAATTCTTACCTCTTGCAGCTGTCTTTGAGGGTGTTGGAAGTTCATACCCATGAAAATTGGAGTGTAGAGTGTTAAGCAGGATGTAATTAGCTATGTTGCATCATGACCAGAAACCTTGGTGCCCCGTGGTGGTGTGGATGTTTTGGAACTCCCTGAATAATATAGGCAGGTCTGTTTGAGATCTCTGGATAGGTGTCATCATGGAAAAGCTGGAAATACTGTTCATTTTTTTCATAATTGAAAACAATGTACTTTCTTCCATACCACTGTTTTCAGTAACCTCTTACTATGTTGTGTATCTTACAGCAGACCACCTTGGTTTGACCTTCCTCCACCACCTTATTGTTCTGAGTCCGAATTCCCTAATCAGCCAGATCTTCCTCCTTACCGATCTCGCACTGGAAGCTTGGTGAGCGCAGACACCCCCACAGCAGGAAGCACTCTGGGCACAGCCAACAGTTGGACAAGAGACATCCACGACAGCATGGATGGCCACAGAACTCTGCTCGAGAGGACAGCAGATCAAAGCGATTCTCTGGTCAACCACATTGCTGAAAGGGAAGTGTAACTGCTCCAGTATTTGGGATGGGCAGGAAGGTATTTACTTTTTCAAGTCTGTATGGGTTAATCTGCTGTGGCTAATAGGTTTCAGGGAGACATGTGCCTGAATGATGACTTGATTTGAATCCACGCTAAGTTAATGTTTGACTTCAGCATTTTGGTCTCATCAAAGACAGAGCTGTGACAGCTAAACCTAGAGTCACATCAGCTCTCCACAATATTTCTGCAAGCAAGTTCTGGTTCAGACTAGTAAGAGAAAGATCAGTGCTGTGTCAAAGAACTGATGTGATGTATTTCTTGGACTGTTTACTGTATATGAATGTATATATGTGCCTGTATAAGATGTTGCACACAAAAACTATGCCAGAAGGACTTTTGTTTTCAGACTGCCTTCCATCCTATCGACATGTAAGCTGTTTCTTCTTAGTGCCTGGTGCCAACTGGTGGTCATTAAAGCACATGAGAGGCAATCTTTCTGCTTGGAGGTCTGGTGACCAATGCTAGCCCACTGGCAGTACTCAAATTGCAGAAAGTGTCCTATTTGACTCTTCTCTTCATGGCCTGGAACATTCTCACTATGAATGTAATTTTCAAGGTTTAAGCTTGTGAGGATGCAACAACTCTCTAACTAAGCAAACGAGGTTTTTTTTCCCAGAGGCTAATATCTAAGTCAAATTTGCATGGGTTTTCACAGGAAGACCACAAAGGTTGGCTTATTTGTCAAACTTCAAGGCTGAGTACAGAGGCACTGGAGCTTCTCAACAAACCAGCGCAAAACTTCTTTTCAAGCGTGGCAAAACAATATTACTTCATGTGTTCCTTCTTAACAAAAAACCCACAACCAAACAACAAAACAAAACAAAAAAATCCCAAAAAACCCCAAACTGTTTCAGCTAAATCTTGAACACCAAAACCAGCCTGAAGCAAACACCCATCACAGAAAGCTTTAGTGTGAATGACTAGTTTGTTATATTTGTAAAATAATTGAAAGCAGGTCACGTGGTGAAAGATGTTGGGCTTATCAGCCCTATCTACAGTGTGTATATGTACATGCATGGATACACATGTTTAATACTGTGTGTATGTATGTAAGTAGTGTATTGCATAGATTTAGTTCTACTGCACCAGCAGAACTCTAAAATGTCAAAGTTTCAGTTCTCATTGTTTGTTATGGAGTTTGCCATTATTTGTGTTCATTTGATTGAAATTCTAGCTTCTGCAGAAAAACAGAATTGTTTGTGACTGTTTTGTCCTAACTCTTGGAATGGTCTCCTTTGAAGTGTGTTTCAGTGCACAGTGTTGAATCACCCGTGTGAAAGTATCTCAGAGGTAAAGGTAGTCAGAGTGGCAAGAGGGAAGGTAAGCTGTGAATTTAAATGCCACTGCAGTGCTGTGCTTGTGCTCAGTATACAGAAAACAACGCAGTGTCTTTCTCTTGTCCAGAGGGAAATTGACCTTGAAAAATTATTTGTATTTGTCTACCAGACACATTTCCCAGTCCTTCTTCCATGTAATGAACAGTGTCATGAAGCAGACTTTGATGTTTAATGGAAATGAAGGAAGCTGACTGCCCACACCTTCTGCTTTCTTCCTCCCCGTCTTTTTAAAGTAACTTCTTTCACCCAAAGGTGAAACCTTTGGCTCAGAACCCAAGAATTTTTGAGCTTGAGTGTAGGCAGGGGAGCGACTGGAGTTCAGTCTCAGTTTCTACACGGATTTGAAAAAGTTAAAGAAATTTAAACTCAATAACATCAAAGTGTTATTAAGCAGACATTTTTATTGCAGCGCTGGACACATGGGGGCTATCTCCTCCATAGTTACAATGTTAGCATTGAGGCAAATACAGCCTAAGGTCTATAAGAGCAGGCCATTAAACATAATCACACAGTTATTAGGCTAAAGAATTCTATACTAACGTTAAACTAATCACATCATCAGTAGCCTTCCAGAAAGTACATGTGTTAAGTAATTTGCAAAACTTAAAATTGATTAGTTACACATGCTAAAACCTTATAATTGTTTTAGATCCTTGTTTCAACACATACACCTGAACTTTTTTTTGTGATATTTTTATTCATTTCCAGCTCTGGAGTCTACTGCCATGGTATGTGAGAGGCAGGGGCCAGATGGATTTACAAGTACAGGTCATTCCAGGACTGAGAGAACACAGTGGGAAGCACTGGAGAATTCTAATGCTGATGGGCTTGGCTGACTTTGGAAGCAGAATAATGGCAGCCTTTCATTACAGGCTTAGGCAGCCTGACTTGAAGTGCATTGGTGGAGATGCTCCTAGGTCCTGGTAAAGCAATGTACCAGACTGGGTCATGTTTCATCCTTGCTAGGAGCTCAAGCAATGTAATTATGCTGTCCTTCACAAAGCAGGATTTGGCTAGTTAGTGTCTCCGTCCGACTTGATAGGCAGACTGTTGTCATTGTCACATAGCAGACAGTTATTTATATTACAGGTAGGTTAAACTCAGGTACATAGCTGAGTTAATAAGAAAGGTGGGTGCAGGGGTGTCTTCTGGGAGCACTGGGCCCTGCTGGCCCTCTTGCCTTTCATTAAGGTTCTGGTTGGCCTGTGTAAGAGAGCTACGTAATGCTGTATCAGAATTTGCCTTGATGTTTTTCTGTTGCAGTTTTTAAAACATTGTATTGAACTTTAAAACATCCTGTTGAAGAGTTTGTGGTAGTTTCATTAGAATTAGACATCTTTTTAATTTTAAAGTTGCCTAAGGCTATATTAGTGAAACGAAATTATTCTCTCCAGTGTAACTTACATGGCACGTATACCTCACACAAGCCTTCCAGGGGGGACTGCATTTCACCGTGTGTATTCGAAGACACCAGGGTGTGTGCAAACCAAATATTGTTTGCCTATGGTATCTGAAAAACATTGCCTTGCATTGCTAAGAAGTAGGAAAAGAGTGGATGTAACCTGCTTCTTCTGCCTTCTGTGTCAGTCATTGTCATATATGTACATATATATATATTAAAAAAAAGATACTCTTTCAGGTTGTATATATTCATGTAACTTTTGCATTAAGATAATCCATTTGGACTTTACAAAAAAAAAAAAGAAGGAAAAAACATTCTAAATGGTGTGACGTTTTCCCTTCCAGCTAAGGGTGTATTTATCTTTGTATAGGAATCTTTTAGTTTTTGAGAACACAAGTTACAAAAGGAGATTGTGCCTTTCTGATTGATTGAATGTTGATTTGGGAGGCTATTAACTACATTTCTGGGTGTTGTTACATATCATTGTCTAGAGATCCAAAAAGAGAAACAAGTCTTGTCTTCCTCTTTGTTGTTACTTACAGGCACCAGTGAACTTTGAGGAGTACAGTATCAAGTTCAGTATCTTGTTCCAAAAAGGCATGCTAAAACTTTAAAGGGGGGGCTTTCATCTTACTCCAGTTTTCTGGTTTGTAGAACAGATTTGCTAGCTGGTTTCTTTGGAAATTGCTGTAGTATCACACAGAAATTGTTTATAACGTGTCACTTCTAGTAGTGTTAATACAGTGTTATACTGCATTATTCAGTGGAATCTTTGGGAAAGCATGGTAGCAGCAACCGTGCTGATGAAATTAAATATTTCATTGAAAATCCTGCAGCTCGTAAGGCTGAAGTTAAATGTTCTTGAAATACCATGTGTTAGGATTTCTTTTCAGTACCCACTAAAATTGGAATTGATCATTGTATTGTTTGTAATTGCTCTTAACCTTTTAGTTTGAGGTTAGTCCTCCAGGAGCTTTCCTTTATACTTAATATTTAAACAAATTGATGTTATTTCAAATACTATTTGAAATATATTCTTTAAAAAGTAAAACCGATTAAAAAATGTTTCAAGACCGAAATTCTGATTCCCTATCTGTATTGAATGGTGACCACCATAATGACTAGTTCTCCTCAGCACAGTTATTAATATATTTGATTCCAACAAAACAATTTGAAGAAATTACTACTTGAGGTAAATGAAGAAATGTGGATTAGTCTGTTGGAAATAATATTTGGGTTACTTAAAAATAAACAAATAAATAAATTTCAGGAGGTTTTGAGTGTCTGTAACCTCTGCTGAAGTCAGAGTGCTGTGTATTTAAAATTAGGCCATTAGTGAATCTGCTTGATAATAATCTGAAGTTCCTTGTAGGACAAATTACAATTTACCTCTCTGGTATTGTGCTAATGGAAAACTGACAGTAAAGCTTTTAAAAGGGAGCCTATGAATAATTTTCTCAGCTCTTGTCTACAGTGACATACACAACACCACACTGCGATTTTTAAATAACTCTGCATTCATTCTTCCTTTTCTTTGAAGTCAAATCATTTTTATTTACACCACTTCGCTTTGATACAGCTAATAGGTCCCTTGTGATAGATTTAGAAGCTGGGTGGAGGAAAGAGATGATGACTCTCATTTTAATTAATGCTGCAGCTTGTTAATCTTGTGTGCTTTACTTTTTAGACATCTTAGGAAAGACAAACGGTTTTAGTAGATAAGAAAAACTATTAATGATGAAAAGGATAGAAGGACACTGATTCTGAATTTAATTTTTAATGAATATTTAAAATTGTATAAATGAAGGAAGAATTTAATGCTGTATTTTTAACATGGTGATCAGGTGGCAAGTACTGTTTTTAAGTGTTGCTCATCAGAAGCTACTTTGCATATAATGCATGGAACTAAAATGGTAAGATGAGTGTTGTTCTCACAGTTCATACCAGATCTGAAATATTTTTCATTAACACAAGGCGTATTGCACCCGTGGACTAAAATGTGTGTCTGCAGAAAGAATTTCCATACCATGATGGACTCTGCCTGAATGTATCCCAGTACAGGACTATGGCCTTCATTTGTCCTTTTTTTTCCTGATTTGAGGGGTTTTGTCAACTTGAAATGGAGATGTTACATAAGAGCTTTAGGGAGCTTGTATGTTAAAACCCAACCTTGTCTTAAACTTTTGTAAACTGGAAATCTTCAAAAATGTGTTCTGAATAAAGTGGTGT